CAAACACATGAGGTGGGGGAAGAACGTGTGGAAAGATTTGGGAAAAATTGCTTTTAGTATTACAAAATAATAAGGAAATATTCAATTTATCTTGATTAAGTACAAACTTCAAACTACAGCAGAGTACATGAGCACTTCTACTGAGCAGACATCATGGTTCAGTCAAATGACAAATTTCCTTGGTGAGAAAGGAGCTGATCCCAAGCACAGCATGGCCAGTGAGGGAAATGCTTTCATTTACAGCATTCCTGCCTTTCAGTTCCAGGCATGTGCATTGTTTTTTTTCCAAGTGAAATACAACAAAAGCTGAGAAATGTCATCAGCCAGAGAAGGAAAGCTGTTTATTGCCCCAAATCAATATCATGTAAAACCTGACCCACACAGGCTGTTCAGAGTACACTCCACTACAATTAGCATATTTTCCATTTCTCATTCTCTACACACTTAACTGTACAGTTCATTTAATTGTTGGGCAATTAAAATCTTGCCTGATCAAAGCGTTTTTCTTGCTTCTCTTGTTAATACATACATCTTCTGATCTAATTTCCATTTTTTTAAGTTGTCCACAAGCTGAAACATATTTTTTTCTAAACTTTTATTCAAATGGTATCATTTGTGTTCATCAAAGTAACAGAAATCTATTTCCCTGCAAATTCACTGATAGTTTTTCACCAACTACCTTACAAGACAGCATTTTTGTCTTTTCAATCTTCTTCCTTACAATTATCTTCACACAGCTCTTTTAGAACATCTAACCCATTGTCATCATTATTACAGTAGCTTTTCATTTTTTAATTTGGATGTTCATTTAATCTATTATTCAATTTACTTCGAACAATACCTAGAAAATGAAGTACCTTTCATAACTGCATGACAATTTATCATCATTATGCTGTTTCTCAATCACCTGTTATGACTTAACTGAAATGTCATAAGGAATACTCCTATAAAGAAGTAAATAAGGCATGGCTGCTCTTTTTTTTTTCTTTTTCTTTAAAATATAATGGTTTTGTAAATTACATATTGAACATAGTTACTTACTCAACACAAAAAATGTGTTAGACACATGTGCCTGATCAAACTGAGTTCATTTTCCTTCTTCCATAATGCCCTGTTTCTTTTTCTCTTTTTTGTATCTGATTAAGCACCATTTTTGGTACTTTCCACCAGTATTTCTACTGTAACGTTATTCTAAAACCCCTAACATTGTGCTGAAACCCATCTATTCTCCTATGCCAAAAGCTGCCCTACTTCAGCAATTTTTCTGCTCTTCTGGTCCTCTGATGGATTCCTGGAGAACAATCAACTTCTAATTTTGCTAATTAAAAAAAATGCGTCTCAAGACATACTGCAACTCAAAGCAAGCAGACTGTAGATGTTCTAAATAGTGAACACAGAACTCACTCCCCAGATTTTCTCAACTTTGCAGAATTGATCAAATTTTATTCGGTGTAATATCTTTAGAGTCTAAACCTGCTGATAGTCTTCATTCCTAGATCACCTCCAAAACTTCACATTTTCTTTTTCTGGTTTGATTTGAGCTCTTCTGGTAAGAAGTTTCATTAGAGGTTTGGACAAATGTCACTTACTCCTTTCTTCACAGCTGAATTACTCTGGTAGCTCAGAATAACACCTAATTAAATCATTTCCAACCACTTCAGACAGGTGAATTTGTAGCAGATTTCTGTGTTGTCTCAGAACAGATAAACACCTTTTTTGAACTACATTTTATTAATTTCACTTATGGCACATGATTTTTGAGATTATTGAAATATTGTAAAAAACAGAGGGAGACTTTTGACCATGACCTGCAGTGACAGGATGAGGGGAAAGGGTTTTAAACTGAAGAGGGCAGGTTTAGATAGGACTCAAGGAAACAATTCTTCACAAGGAGGGTGGTGAGACTGCAGAACAGGTTGCCCAAAATATCTGTGGATGATTCTAGACCAGAACTTAGACTTCTCCATTAGTATTTATTAGCCCATTTTTCCTCCCACTCTTCTCATTGCTTCGTTAGAAGTGCTGGATCTGAAGCTCCAGCTGCCAGTTCCTTCAGAAATCTGATATGAAGTAAGCACTGGCACTCACACAACCTCTCTCAGGCCATTCCTAAGAGCTTTCGCTGATTTATTTTCACTTCAGGGTGCTCTCTTTATTCTTAGAATCTTCCTTTTGAAATCATTACCGATCTTGTTGTATCTGAAACCTTTTCTGTACGAGCTTTTCTTTTCAGTTTTGAGTAACCAAAGCTTGGGTAGGAATTAGAAACAACAGCTGCTTCAAAACACACCACACAATACTGTGTTTTGACATGAGAGACCATTATTCCTGTGCCAGATGCCCCAGTTCCATCAAGTTAGTCCATTTTTTTTGAGTATTACCCTCAACACTTCCCAGGAATTAAAGCATGTTGCTTGTTTGACATTGCCAAAATATCCTCCCAAACAGCCTGCACACAAGCTGCTATGATATGAAAGCGTTCCCACCTCTCTTGGATCTTAAAAATAAAAATGAAAAACCTGAAGATTTTTCTAAATGGATGATAAAGGTCAGTTACCTTGCAAAATCCATTTATGACCAGATTGTTTCTCAGTTTTGGTCGTCCTGTGAATCAGACTGATTTTCTACCTTACAGAGAGCTTACTCTTGAGATTTCCTGGCTAATGCTCTTGGTTTCATCTTTCCAGTGATGACAATGGCCAGGCTACCATAAAATAGAAATAATTGCAGAATATTTTAGTTTGGTGAATGAGCACAGTAACATTCACCATTTTTCTCAAGGGCAGGCCCTTATTTACCCTGCTGATCTCTTTGCATCTCCAAGCCTG